TATTGACTCCTTGATTTTCTGACTTCTGGCCTCCAGAATTGTGAGAGAATGAATTTCTGTTGTTTTAAGCTCCCCAGTTTGTGGTACTTTGTTACAGAAATCCCAGGAAATGAATACAGCTACATATGACATAAATATATTTAACCTTTATTCTGTACACAAACAGTACTTGACGTATATTAGTATTCATGGATCACTTTCAATAATTCTGAGGACCCCAGGTTGGAAAACAAGGCTTCAGCCAACATGAATTAGTCTGTGTTCCCAATTAATACACTGTGCTTTCTTCCTGCAGTGCATCATTCATGCTCTTGCTTCCATCCACAGCACTGTGCTCCTCATCTCTCCTACTGAATTCCTGCCAGTGTAAATGCCACCTTAATGAATGCATTCATGATTCCATGTAGATTAAAGTAATCCAAAACTTTGTACACATTTCCAGCTTTTTAAAAAAATATTCTGGCTTTTTTTTTTCTTTCAGATAATATAGATTGACAAATTTTCACTTAAATAAATGAATAGTTTTCATATTCTCTGCCTCACTTGCCGAGAGTAAGAGATTCACTTGCCAATACACGAGGGTACTTCAAAAAGTTCATGGAAAACTGAAATAAAATACGAATCTTTTCATGAACTTTCTGAAGACCCCTCGTATGTAGTTACCTACACAACCCCTTCACTGAAATTCAAAAAGGAAAAAAATATGTATATGGGTGTGTATGTGTATATGTGTATATAGAATGTTTTCTCACTAGTATTTAGCAGTTTGTTTCTGTTTTGCATGATGGAATCTATTGTACTGTAGTTGCCATTGCGTTTGGTATACATGTGCTAGAGAAAGAAAAACATGTTAAAGGAGTTTATGTGTGGGCCGGCGCCGCTTGGGAAGTGCGGCGGCGCTCCCGTCCGAGGGTTCGGATCCCACGTACAGACCGGCTCCCGCTCACTGGCTGAGCGAGGCGCGGGAGCAACGCCGAGTCTTGCGATCCTGTCGCCGGTCCCCGGTCCAGTACGGGGGCAACACTGAGGGTTGCGATCCGTTGCCGGACACAGAAAAAAGACAAAAAAAAAAAAGGAGTTTATGTGATTTTTACTTGTTGATTATTGTTAACATTATAGCTGTTATATACTGTTCATCTCCTGTCTGCCACATACTTTTACGTGTTATACCTAACGTTTACTATAGTCTTTTAAGATATTATTGTCCCCATTTTTCAAATGAAGAAACTAATATGAGAAACTAATGTGAGTTCAATCAGTTGTATGAGGTGACACTTAAGGAAACGATAGAATTAGGATTTGGTTCCAGTTATGGCTGGCTGAAACCTCAGCTCCTCACAGTCCCATACTGCCCACACTGGGACCTAGAAAAATGCCATTTATTTCATTCTACCAAATTTACCAGATGAAAGCCATTAATAAGATCAAGAAAGGTAATTGAAAAATAACAACATCATCGTGTTTTTATATGTTTTGGTTGAAACTGCCCACCAAGAGATGATCTCTAGAATCAATCTGGTCTCATATCTCTTTGCCTAGAAAGGTTCAAAAAATCTCATTAGCCTTTTTGTTTCCTGAAAATTATTTTAATTCTAGGCAGAAACCACTAAGAATAAATAAATTGTTGTTAATCATATTCATTAAATTTAACCAAAATTTAATTTTATAGTCACATTAACGTATTGCTCCTTATGCTTTTCTGGAAATGATTTTGTTATGTATCTGACTAACCATTAATCTCCTAATTCCTGTTGAAAAGTACTACCATTATATTTCTGTATAATTGTCACAAAAAGCACATACTCTGGGTATGGGGAGAAGAAGAAATGCTATAAGGAAATATCCAAGGGACTTTTGGAATAATCCTCTTATTATTAGAATCTCTTCAAAATAAGATATAGCATCTTTATCAAACTTTCTCCCAGATGAGAAATAGTGAATAGTATCAATCTGAGCCTAGTACTGGTGCATAAAGCTTTAAATTAGGGCCCTTCTCTGGTGCCAGCAGCCATGGATTAACGGAAGAATGACTTGAAACAACTACCTCATTGATCAACTAGCAGGTAGTACGTGGAGACAACTTGAGGCTTATACTTTGATTTCCAGAGCTATCATATATCTCTTTTCACTTAACAGGCAGGAGGGTCAGGATCAGAAAAGAGGTAAAAAGAAAGAACAGAGTATCCGACCTGTACCTTCTACCTAAGAATTTAATCTTATATATTTTGAGGTCTACATTATAGATAGTCCCTTTTTTGTTAATGTAAAAAGAAATCATAAATAACAGAATAAATAAGACAGAATAAACAGACAAATAAATCATAAGGCTAAAGGAGACCATAAAGATCAAGATGCTTAATCATATTTAGTGTTTGATTATCTGCGAAATATATGGGAATGTGTATATAAAACTTCATTTCTGTTTGGCTGATCTTATCTTGTGAGAAGTAAATGAAATGTCATACGTTGGCCACAGCTTTATCACTAGCTTCTTTGTTTATATTAAAACAAGCTCAGCCAGATTTCTTTTGCAGTTGCAAGAACACATAACATAGCATGTTTCAGGCTATTTGCATTCAGTGAAGCATAGAAAGATGGTGGCCACATGGTCTGCCCTCATAATTCATACCAAGAACAATGTTTTTCTTTCATAAGTGCAACAGAAAGCTCACGTTTATATTATAAAACACTTCGCCTAAACATTTCATTGTTTTTATTTTACCATCCCCCTCCTAATCCCAGTTAATCTTTTGAAATGTGTTATAGTGCTCAAAGAATGGGTGTTGAAATCAGATAGATTAGGTTCAAATCCAAACAAATTGCCCTTGAGCCTATAACTACCTCACATGTATTGCTTGGAGGATTTAAAGAGATAAAACATATAAAACATTTAGAACAGTGCCCATAATAAGTGCTCAAAAGATGATAGAAATTGTGACTATAGATTAACACAAAAAGAAGGTTTAGAAGAGTTTTGTGAGTTTTCAAGTTACATAATTGAGTATACTAATCTCCTCTTATTTTCTCTTCATTCATTGACCTGACTTTCCCTTCTTCAAAGAGCAAGTAGGACATCGGTGTTGTCTTTAGTTTTTCATTTATTTAATGAATAGCCCTATTATATTCAACATTTGTTTATTTTACAGTAGCCTTCATAATCTTCATTTCTATCTCAAATGTAAATGTTTTATCTCTATTAAGTATATTAAACAAAATTAGCAATATAACTTTGCTTTTTGCTAGTCATAGGGAAAGATGGCATATTATGAAGTATTTTTTTCTTTGAGACTTTATAAAAATAAAAAAGCCAGAAGAATAAGCAGATAAGAATAATAAGATACTCCATCATAAATTACTAACCTACGGAAGTAAACAATCTACCAAAATGTATCTGATGGTTTATACCAAACTTTTGTCCTGTCGTTTCAATATCTGTTTCTTTACTTTTCATTTTCATTAAATTCTTTTGTTATTGTTTTCTTTGTAAACAAGTTCAGTACTTTAAGTTCCTGCCAAGACAGAGGATTTTCCCTGATTTCCTCTTTTAAAGGAACAGTAGGATTTCATGAGATTAACTTTTAGGTATGTGTTTTGAATTTGGACATTGACTGTCATGAACCTACAACACTATGGCATCATTCATATGCTATATACTTCCTAGCTATGGCTAAGATTATCCCTATCGCTTCTGGTTTTTCAAATGAGAGTTGACAACACATATTTTTGTAACTCTCTTTTCTTATCTATCAGTTCTTTGGAATTGTCCTACCCAGGAATATTTATAAAATTCCTAATGTCTTGGGCCAGACCCGTGGCTCACTCAGGAGAGTGCGGTGCTGGTAGTGCCGAGGCAGCGGGTTTGGATCCTATATAGGGATGGCCGGTACACTCACTGGCTGAGCGTGGTGCTGACAACACCAAGCCAAGGGTTGCGATCCCCTTACTGGTCAAAAAAAAAAAAAAAAATTCATAATGTCTTTTGTTGTCCCAATACCTCTACTAATATCTAAACTGAACACATCATACATAGAATCAGAATCACTGTAAAACATGTTAGCTTTTCATTTGTAAATAATATTGTTAACTATTTTTAAAGCTAACTATAGAGACATGGTCTCAGCACTCTAGGATTGTAAAATGTAATCTATTTGATGTTTGAGTAAAGAGAATGATAAAGGAAATATAATCACATGTAACACAGAACAGAGTTAAGAGCAGAGATGCAATTGAACTTAGAATGAAGCAACTATATGTGTAAAATAGTCAATATAATTGAAACATCAACCCTTCAAGCTTTGTGACAATATACTTCCCAATAAACATTAACCTAAATTGAAATGTACAGAAAGACCTATAAATTATTATTTTACGTAGTAGCAACTCTAACATTCATTATGGGTTCATCAGAGAGGATACTAAAGAATATCAAGCAATGAAAACATAAAATAAGAAAACATTATAGAGACAATATATATTTCTAACAGTACGTATTTGTTGTTAAATAAATGAAAGGAATTCTACATTTAAAACGTTATATGTCTATTGACTAGTATAACACATACAGCCTGTTTGATAAGGCTAGAAAAACTAAAAAAGAAGTTCAGCCTAAAAGAATCAAAACTTTAAATAAAATATATTGAATTTATGTATCTAATAAGTAATACTTATTTAGTGGACACATAATATGCTTAATTTTTTTTTAAAAAAGCCTAAAAGAGAACTAATATTTTATTTCTTACTACACAGATGTATTGAATGAATGTACAAGCATTCTACAAGCCATGAATAGTTCCTAGATACAGGAAATCTATCAGTGAATAAGAAAAAGTTCCTGCCTTTGTAGAGCTTACAGTCTAATAAAGGACAGAGACAATAAATGAGTAAAATTTATGTGAATAGTATGATTTCAGAAGGTAATACTTCTATATCGTATTTATTTTTATGAAAAAAATATGGTGTTGTAGTAATTTGTTATGTGTTGTGTGTTTTTTCCCCACTAGATTGGCAGCTACTTGAAGGCAGGCACTATGACTTTCTCACAAAATCCTCAGCAATATAGTGTGCTTAGTGACTGATACATGGTAAGTACTCCATAAATGCCTGAATGAAGGAATAAAAGAAGGAAAAAAATTGTAAGGCAGAAATTTTAACAATTGAATAAATTCAGCAATTTGATACAAATTACTTGCAATACGAGGCAATCTAAACTATTAGAGAAGAACAAACATGAATTTTGAGGAGGATTAAATTCCTCAAAACTAGCATTCAAAGTATTGAATTGCCACTGCGTATCAAGTAAATTATTTGGCCTCTCTGAGTCTCGGTTTTCTTACCATTAAATGGGAATGAACAGCTCTTGTCATAGAATGAGATTGTTGTAAGTGCAGAGTATTTTTGAAATACTTTGAAAAGTACAGAGTATTACTGAGAAAGCAGTAGCATTCATTTCTGGCAGCAATCTGGAACAAGGCAATAATTCCGGTGATCTACAAAGGCAGGCAGCAGCAAGTCATGGCTGTAGACTAAGAGCTGGAAACTGGTTTTGATAAAGTGTGTAACAAGTCGTAGAGGATGTTAAAAGGGAGATAGGCAGGTTCAATGCCCAAACCTAGTGGTCAGGAATCAAATGGCCAGGAATCCAGAATGGTGAGACAAGCTGTAATTGGGGCAAACCAGAAAAACAGTGGAGGCAACCATGAATCCTCAAGAACAGAGCAGGAAGACAATCTATAATTGGGCAAAGAGTCAAGAACCTGGAAACACGGTGAACAAAAAAAGAAAGATAAAGTAAATAAGAGACCAAATCTGAGATCCTCAAAAAGCTGTAAGGCCATTTTGTGCCTCAGTTCCAGTGTATTTAATTTTCCTTTGGAGGAAATCATCTATCTCCAAGGGACAGGTGCTCAGAAGTAGGTGGTTGAGGTAAGGGAATATAGGTGGAGCCAAACAGCCAGTTTCTCCCAAGAAGAGTCTGGCAATAAATATCTTAGCCAGTTTTTAGAAGACTCCTCCCAGTAAATCCATTTTCTAATTGGACAGCAAAGTAAAGCTGTGTCAAGTCTCTAGACAAATTTCCCTTGGGATTTACACCATGTTATCATGATACCACAAAATATTTTGAAAGGTAAAAAAACTGAATCAGTGATTTATACACTTATTATTAGATGCTCGATATGTATAGTTTCAGCTGGGATTGAAATTGTTGACCTCACTATTGTTTCCCATGACCTGATTTTACTAATTTACTGGCTAAAGTTAGTTAATGGATAAATTGTACTATAGCAAAAAGCATGTGAATGTTAGGCAAAACCCTCCTCTGGATGGGGAAAATTACTGTCATCAGGTGAGTTTGCTTTCTTTCTCTACATTCAAAACTGACCAACGAATGCCACTAGCTAGATGTTTGTAGTGATTACCAACAAACCTCAGGCCAGGCTCAGTCAGGACAGGTCCTTGAGGACCAGATAGGGTAATGGCACACCAGTAAGGCATCAGACCTCAGCATCAAGTTGTTTTTTTTTTTTCTGTAAGTACTGTGTATCTCTTCTCCCAACAACTTTGTTCCCCTCAGTTCAAGGGAAGTGCTACAGGCTGTTGCGTTAATGAGCCATTGGTTTATCCTGTACATTTCCTGAATTTTGGCCATTCCACCATGAATTCCTGGTAATTAAGTACTGGTTTCCCAAGTCCAGCATCATCAAACTTAGATAGTCATTAACTTTAAATTGTTAATGATATGTCAGCATGGAGATGGATCCTCCCATTAAAAATATGTTGGGTATTGGTGGCTTCAAAAGTATTTATATTTTGTAGTGGCATATAAACAAATAAATGATCAGATGAAAAATTGTGCAGAACCCAGATTACCTAGTTATTAGAAACCAATTGTGTATTGAAGAATATGAAGAATACGTATTAATTCAAATATATTTATTTACATATTAATCGCTTTTTTCAAATTGGCCAACTTTTTCAAAACGATAATGCTTTAAAAATTGAGATAAAAAGAAATTCAAATGCATAGATTTGTAGTTATTCTTGGTGTGAATATTAGCACTTTTTTGATAATTTCTGTAAGTTAATAATCACGGTTTAACTTCCTAGAGGTTTTGGTGTCCTTTTTTCGCTGTCATTTAGAAATACACATAATATTATGTAATATATTACAGTTGGTCAACAGTTTACTGTTTTATTCTTCAAAGCATGTAAAAAAATATACCAATGAAAATTCCTATGAAAAATCATAATACAGGAGTCCTATGGCTATGTTTAGAAAGATAATTTTTCTTTAAAAACGTTTTCCTTTTTTTTTTTATGTTGCAGTAAGCGTTACTTAAGCTTGATTGGAGAATTTCAATTCATGATTTTTATGTGTTTTTTTTCTTGTTTTTTTTAAATATTGAGAAGTGGTGATCCATTGTCATGCTATATTTAAAATTAATATGTCTAAAACAAGAAATATTTAATTAGGGTCATTAATTTTCCACATTTAATGAGTGTCTGTGACTAAGGAGAAATATAACTATCTTTTTATTACATCAGCTTTATATATAACAAGAATGACAGCAAGAACAACAAAAGATTGATTGAATATTTCCTTTGTGCCTGTGCTCTCACTCATAGAACCTAACAATTAATTCGAAGTTAGACACATAGCATTTACTCATTTATATTAGGGTATTCACTGTTATCCGGGAAGATTACTATCCCTGGTGCTGAAACTTCTGTGTGTAGTCCTTATGGTTGAAGAATGAAACCATTTCTCTTGGACATATCCTTTCATTGAAATTATGAATTGTATAAATGTTCATACCTTAAAGGAAGCATTAAATTTCATATGTGTTGACATCTTAATATCTCAATATTTAGTATACTTTTTATTCTTACTATCTTTTTATTGAAAAATTGCTTCTAGAGGATAATTAACAGTTAAAAAAAATTAGTACATTAAGTCATTGAGGAGTCTATGTTCCAGATTTCTAAACACATATTACTACCAACCAAAAAGTTGACTCTGTTCATTTTAACTACAATTTCACTTAGGTGTCAAAATTAAAGGTTTTGTTTTAAAAATAAATACTTGCATTATTTCTTAACTGCATTATTGCACACTTGATTTCAAGTAGTTAGCTTTTCTTCAGTGCTTATAATGACTTTGAATTATGGTGAGATGAACTTTTCCCAAGACGATTGCTTTGTTGATCCTGAGTTGGAGTCTCAAGTCAGGAGATAGCTATGCTTTTATATATTCTTGTAAATAAAAGTGCATAAGTTGTTGGTGTAAGTTCTCCATAGATAGGTAAGCCCAGAGTAAATAATAGCCATTGGCACCATATGACTATATGTGATTCATGTGCATGTTCACAGCAAGAATAGAGCATTTTAGGTATCTGTTAACTTTAGATTGGTCTAACAATGATATGTCAGCATAGAGATGGATCTACTCATTAAAAATATGTTGGATGAGACCCTATCTTGTTCTGACAGTATCATATGTATTCATGTGCCCATTTAGGACTTTGGAGACCAAGGGACTCTGTGTTGGGATCTGAAGCATCTGCTCCTGCTTGATGTGGCTACCCAACTTTGTATTCTTGATTAATAAAATCATAAATATAATCTAACTTCTCTGAGTGTGCTCTCTTTTGATGAATTTATATCTTACCTAAAAGTACCGTGTGTATATTATATAAAAGTTTCCTGTAAATGATATTAAAACATTTATTAGTTTTGTCCAATAAAATTTTAAGTGTTTTCTTCCATGACGAAATTACTTTTTTTTTTCTTTTTGTCCTTTTTGAGACCGGCCACACCGTGCTCAGCCAGTGAGCACAGTGAGTGCACGGGTCATCCCTATATAGGAGCCGAACCTGCGGCGGGAGCGCTGCTGCACTCCCAGCGCCGCACTCTTCTGAGTGCGCCACGGGCTCAACCCTGAAATTACTTGTTAATAAGGAGTTTCTTCATGAAGAAACTTATACAGTTTAACTTTATAAAATGTAACTTTAAACTTCAAGCGAGATTCTCTGTGTAACTCAAACAGAATTTTACAACTGAATACATTAATTTTTCTTACTGTTTTAACAGGACGTGATTTTACATTATAGGCAGCTCTTTCAAAGCCTGCTTCTCCTCCTCTATTCCGTATCTCTGTGAATGGCACACCAACCCCTCCGTCCTGCCTCTGTCTCTGTTAACCAAGTTCCACCTGTACTACTTCCCAAGTAATTTTCAGCCCTGTCCTTCCTCTCCTTCATGACTGACTCTGTTCTAGTTCAGATTCTTATGGTACGTTCCCTGAATTCTTGCAACAGAGAGTCAGTTTCCTTGACTCAAATCTCACTTCTTCTCATGTGTTCTTCACACCAACATCAGAAAGATATTTTTAAATGATGAACTAAAACTAATTACAGACATAAATAACACTTTAAATTCTTCAATGACATTCCAATTTTATAAAATATTATATAGAAAGCACTTCATGATCTGGCCTCAACCTCTCAATTCAAACTTGTCTCCTGCCACTATCTCCTCTGAATATTATATTCCAGCTCTTTCAGAATTAAAATATGTAATATTCATAGAACTCTTCCTGGATTTCTGCCAGTGTGTAAAGTACTTTACGTAGGTTATGTTATTTAATCCTCAACAACTTTATGAGGTAGATGCTATTATCCACATTTTGTAGATAAAAAAGAGGTTAAAAACTTGTCAAAGTTAAAAGCTGAGAAGCATAGCAGCTGAGATTTGAATCTAGACAGGCTGCCTCTAGAGTCTACCATGGTTTTCCTGTGCAAAGTGCTTGCAGTTCCCCAAACTTGACATTTCTCATAAACCTCTATGTCTTTCACATTCTCTTCCAGTTGTCTGGAAAGCCTTTCACAATGTTGGCTGCCTGTGTGCCTCATGTTCATCCCACAAGACTTGACTCTGGCTGCCCCTCCTTCATGAAGGTTTCTCTGAATCCCGGGGCAGGGTTAATGTCTTGGCACTGATGGCACCTTACAAAGCTCAGGGAGCCACTTGGTGTAGTAGATAGAGGCAATTGTGATGTGAAACAGGCCTGATTTGGATTTATGGTTCTATCGCATATTGTTTTTGTGACTTTGGGAAAGTCATTTAATCTCTCTGAATTTTAGTTTCTTTGGGGATTAATAGTATCTTTTCTTAGGGAGTTATTAGGGTGAAATGAGTTAATTTTATGAGATGCATCTACCACAGTGACTAGAACACAGTAAGAATTTATTAGTTCCCCCCACACACACCCTCCCTCCTTTGCAGCCCCCCACACCCACATGGTAATTGTTCATCTCCTCGCCAGCCTGCGAACAGCTTCCCCCTTCATCATTGGTTCTGCAGTGCTTGGCAGGCACTAGTGAAATGTGTGAAATGAATGAATGCACAACTGAATGTTTAATACCTAATGACACTATTGAATGAATCCTTTTGTTCATTTTATGGCCAGAAATTTACCCTAATTAAGAAATAACAACTGGCAAAGGAAACTCCATCTATACTTTGTCCTTTCCTCATGTAGTATCTAAAACTTTTCCTTCTGATTGAAAAATTATAACTGAATGATCTCTTTGAAAATGTCTCAAATTTTATGTAAATAAAGCTTATGGTCACAGATCAGCATAACATTAAATGATTATTTTATTTTAAAAAATCACTTCATAGTCTTAATAGTCTTGGAACATCTATCTACTGATGTATCGTCTATCTACCTACCTACCTATCATCTAAAATCTTCAAATATATTTAAGCTGCTTTTCTGAGGCTATTCTGTGTTTCCATTGTTTCATTTTTTTCAAGATCTGGTATTGCCTGATGTATTGGGTCTAGTTATTTATGATTAGGAGAAGAAATGTTCCAGGGACAAAGCCCCAGGATTTCGAATGATGAGATACGAAACTGGAATGGAGGAAGGCAACTTAGGTGAAGTGTTTGAAAACACTGTGTATTACTGCTTCTTGTGTCAACTTGTATTGCTTTTTTCATACCTGTTTAATATATATTTCAGCACTATGTATTGGTGAACTTTTGAATCCAAACCATCTAACATTAGAAGATGCCATAATTGAAAAGGCATAGAAGGTCATTCTAAATGTGTGAACAAGTTAGAGATGTACAAAATCAGAGATCATCATAGCTAGAGTCCAAACATCCTTAATTGCTTTTCACAGGGATTCAACCATAGACTATCACGTGACAAGTTGAAATAGGTCTATATTTCTAAAAATAATTTTATGTAAATTATCTATGTAAATATGTTAAAATATGAGTTATTTGAGAAATGAATAACATGTTCTCAGAAGAGCCTTACATGTAAGTATGTAGTAAGAGCATGGTTTCAGGGACAAACTGCTCATGTAGCTTCCTGTCATGATTTCTTCAATAAGATTCTTCTATTCTGCCTTCTAGAACTATCCATTACATTCCCATTATAAACTTTGTACCAAGTTAAAAGTAAGCCTCCTTTTTTTTTCTTTATCTGACCTTCCTGCTCTCCACTCCTAAGAGGTTAAAAATAGTCAGAAAATCCCACCTTTAGTTCTGTAATGTTTGGGTGCAGAGTCAAAATAGTCTGTGAAGTGTCGAACCTGATGATCCAAGCACTCTTCTACTGATAGTAGAGTCTCATTATCCTTTCTCAGTTACATGCCCTGACAAAAACAGGTGACGAGAAGGTATGCACCCAACATAAGAGGTCATTGAGTTGAAAGAAGATGTGCAAAATATTAACATAAAGATGCATAACTGCAGTTCTCAAAGAGCTTATATTCTAGCATTATATTAGTTTCTATATATAATTTGTTTATCGTGAATGCAGACCCTTATGTAAAAGAAACATACAACTTGAGGGATTCATTTGGGCTAGAAAACAGACATTTGTAGAGGGAATTTGTGAACTATCTTTTCATGGAGGTCTTTCAATGGGAATTATCCATCATATCTTAAATGCAAGGGCTACCTAGAGATAAAAGGAATTAAATAACATTTAAGTTGTTATCTGACTTTTGGAATCAGTTATTAGGAAATTATTTTGAAAGTAAAGTCAAATCCAAATCTTCCTTTCCTGCTGATGTCTGCCTTTTATCTCTATCAGGCTTTAATTCCATCAAAGATTGGGGTAAAATCTCCAAACCAAAACTGCCAAGAACCAACACTACCAAAGCCTTTCCGGCTGCCACCTACTTGTATGTCTAGAGATATGTTCCTATATCTGCTCTGAGGCTAAAATGTATTTTCCTAATGGCAAAAAACATTATCATGATATACTTAAATACCTTGAGTTAAATACTTCAGTACATGATGGCTTAAGGGCCAAACTCCAGCTTGTGGCATTATTTCCATAGGAAAATGCAAACCAACTTCCAAACCCAGGTCTATACCTGAACTCTCAAAGAAGAGCACTGGAGACCACTGAAGAGCGTCACTGCCAGAGAGGAAAAGGAGCTCTCTTCATCTCTCTTAGACAAGTTTGTGAATTCTGTTTCACTTTTCTAAGAGATGGCTGGGTCACCTAAATAACACGTTAAAAGCGAAATATGTAAATTATATATTTAAACAAGTGTCTTTTTTGCATTTGAAACTTTATAAGACCAAATATACTTCTTGTTCCCTTTCACGTTCCTAGAGCTATTATGAAAGTCATATCCTCTTCTCTTGTACTCACTCAGGCAACACCCCCTGCCATCAGTTTCCTGTCCCTCCCACTGCCTTCACTGCCACTTTTCTGAGGAATGCCTATATCCTAGAACAAAGCTTTTGTCATGTTACTCTCATTTATAAATTATCTATAATTTCCTATTTTCTATAAGATCAAAGCCCACTCCTTAATTTGCCTTTTAGACCTAACATAATTTAGTCTCTAGTTTTCTCTACTTTATTCATGTGCAAATGCTCTATTCCAGAATAGTCCAAACACCATGTGCTGCCTACTCAAATCCTACTGAGCTTTTTTTTTTTTGTCTTTTTTCATGACCGGTAACGGGATCGCAACCCTCGGTGTTGCGCCCGCACCGCGCTCAACCAGTGAGCGGACCGGTCTCTATATGGGATCCGAACCCTCGGCGGGAGTGCCGCCGCGCTCCCAAGCGCCGCACTCTACCGAGTGCGCCACCAGGCCGGCCCCCTACTGAGCTTTTAAAGGCCTATTGCAAACCCATCTCCTCCATTAGGCCAGTCAGTACTGAAATGGCCTCTCTCCACCACCTGTATAGTATTTACTGTCAATACTGTACATTTCCATTTTAATAATTTCCAGCCTTATAACTTTAATTTTTTTTAAATGTGTATCTACTAAGGTCACATACTAAGCAACTACTTGTATTGTGTTTGGTATTTAATATTTCCAAGCTATGTAAATTATTTTTACCCTCACCATCCAACACTGGGCTAGGTGCATGGAAGATGGGTAAGGAAAGTTTGTTTTTGTTCCGAAAAAAGAAAAAATTGGGGTTACATAAATTTTGTTTGTGTACTTTTTTCTTTAGTGTTCCAACTTACATAATTCGAAGTTTAAAATGAAAATTAGGGCCGGCCCGGTGGCGCACTTGGTAGAGTGCTGCGCTTGGGAGTGAGGCGGCGCTCCCGCCAAGGGTTCGGATCCCATATAGAG